TATTGGACTTGGCTAATACTTTGAACCCTTAATGGTTAGTTTTAAGAATTTTCCTTTTTCCCTTAGTAACCAACATATTGACTAGACACTTGTTTTTTTTTTTTTTTGGGAAAGTAGTTCATGAGACATATTCAGGGCTATTTGCAAATAATATAATTTTAGTTGATGAAGCAGAAACGCGAAACAACACTATAGACGAGGATCAAACTTCATTTGTTTGAACCATAGTTATTAGTATCGTATGATACGTGATACATATCATACGATACGTCACGATACACTTGAAAAACGATACGTATCGTGTCTTTGTATTGTTTTTTTATCGTATCGTACGATACATGATACGTGACGAATCTTTTTTTTAATTTTTTGGTTTTTTTGGGTTGAAATGACATCATTTTACCCTAGGACTTATTTTTAAATCACTAGCCCATAAAACGTCATTTCAATGGTTATGGTTTAAAAAAATAAATAAATAAAGAATGTTATTAATGTTATTCAATTGAATTCAAAATTTCTGATTAATATTAAGGTTGTTCAAGCAATTGATGTTAGAAGTTTAAATTAGAGGCCTTTGCATTTTGATATTAATGAACTATTGGGAACTTGAATAGTTGGTGGAATATTAATGACATACTATGTTATTATGAGTCTATGACTTTTTTACAAAGGTATATATATATATATATATATATATATATATATATATATATATATATATATATATATATATTATTAATAATTATGTAAAAATTAAACTTGTGCGTATTTTACGATACACGATACGATACGATCCACTATTTTTAAAAAACGATACGCCATATGATAACTATGATTTGCACCGAAGCAACCAAAATATGTTCTTTCAGTGAATAATCTAAAAGAATTAGTGATACAAAATCAACATTTTAATGTTTTCGGAGTTTGAAAATGACTCCGAATCAAAATTACAATTTTTTCCTTTCTAAAAAGGGTAAAGTTCACACTAATTTACTATGCTAATTGAAACTATGGACCGATACGAAACTTCAATTCTTGACTCTAGATTTAGGATTTGGAGATAAACACTAGCACCATGAGGGTTTACAATAAGTAGAACTAAAATGGGGTAAAATGTGTGTGTGTGTGTGTGTTTGTGGGGTTTGGAAGAGCAGAAAAATCAATGGAGGGGTAGAGAAAAATTAAAAACCCAGAGATATGTTTCATTATCCAGGTTTGATTAAGGAGAGACTGCAGATGATTTAGTTTGTAGAACAATAGTAGATTGGCTCAAGTGGACAAGTGCTTTTGGTATATTGTGTGGCAGATACAAATGAATCTAAAATTACAGTTTTACGGAACTATAAAGGTAGCTATGCTTTATGGGGCAAAAGGCTAGAACTAAGAAAAAATGTTAATAAAGTAAGTGTAGGTGAAATGACACTATTCAGATAGCTGTGTGGTAAGAGTAATGAATGCATTTGTGAGAATGGAATAGTATTACCATTAAAGAGAAATTGAGAGCATCGGCTATGATGGTTTGAGTATGTACAACGAAGATCAATAGGTGCACTAGTGATTAAGAGCAGCGTGGTCATCATCAGTGGAAATGCTTTGGGAAGAGAAACTAGAAATGAGATAGTGAAGAACGATATGATTGCATGGTTTGTTGTTGTTTGGTATACTCCCCCCTCCTCTCCACTTCGCTTTTGTGCAACTTGGTAATACCACTAGCTGAGTTCAGAATAACTGTAACAACATTTGGAGGAAAAAAAAAAAGGAAGGTTCAAATTATTATTTTCTTAGTGCTAAAGAGTTTCAAAATCCATGGTCTTATCTTATCAAGTCGATTGCAAATGATTATGTCTAGGTAGATGAAATCCAGAGATAATCATATTATTGTTGATGGGTTACTAATAACTTGACTGCATTTCTGCTTGCAGTGGAAAAGAGAGAGTGAAGGAGTTGTTGGGCTTGAAGTAGATTGCGTTGGCATTAATTACCAGAATCCTAGAAGAATATTAGCAGCTGCCTTTTGGTCATGAATCAAGTTATACATCATCTCTGCCTGGATTTGATTGGTGTTACGTGTGCTGTTGGGCGACGAATGTGTCCTCCCGAGTGTGCATATGATAAATCGGTTTTTGACCATTTTTTTGCTCCCATGACATTTTTCATCGATCTTCTATGTTTATTGAGTATATTGCGGTGCTAGTGAATTCGACTGAACTTCTTTGTGGACAATGCTGTGCATGGTTGAAATGTTGTCACTTTTTGTTGGAGCAGCTATGACTGGAGGAAATCATCGATTCACAAAGAGAATGTGCTAATTTATGTACTTGTTTTATTCGTTAATTGGAAGGAAATGAGCTGGCCACAAAACCAGTAGGGAACTGCCACATCTTATACATTTGATGCAATCTAACCTATAAGGAATCATTGAGAATACCAAATGAGGAATTCTATACATAACAATTTACTGTCAATTTTTTTTTTACCAAACCAGTTAGATTTATCCATTCCTTCGACTTTAACTAAAAATCCGATGAATAAAATTGTGGATCATTTAGTGCATAGTCTTACTGATACCAGATATAAAGCTGACACTGCTTATAGGCAGGAGGATGGGGTTGTGGTTTTAGGGCTAAGGGTTAGGTTTTCTGGCTTTACGGTTAGGAGGATAATTAGGGTAGACTGATGGGGTGTGTAGTATTTCTGGTAAGGAGAGAAGTTGAACTAGAAAGTTTATGTGGGATGGTGGTGCTGGCGTTATCAGTTATCTCACTTCATTGTGTGACAAGTATGCCCCTCAGACAGATTTGTTCAATCTGAATATCCAACATAATCTAAATTTAATAGAAAATATACTCCAATCCAATTCGAATTAGTCAATCAAGCTGGATTTTAATAAATTACAATTAAATGTCAACAAAATTTCATAAATTCATTACATATTTTATGTATATATTTTTCAAATTAGATCAACCTCGAATCGAATAATGATAACCAAATCTAAATCCGTAAATTACATACAGTAAATTCAGAATTAAAATTAGAGTATCGGCCAAGAATACTAGTAATTGGTAATTGTGGACCAATGCTTTCCTTATTTTCGAGGGTAAATTGTAAGGGGTATATCAAATTAGATTTATTTGGCAAAAAATACACACTAAAAAATGTAAGGTTATTAAGTCATTAATTTTGATACTTATTTGTATCTAAATACACAATTTGAATTTGCCTAATTTTTTTGTGACATTTTTGTCCTCCATTGATCTATGTGTGTGTTCTTTGGAAAGTGGTGCATTAAATATCTCCTAATTTTATAGGAGAACTTTAGTATTTAATGCACCTTAATTCATGTGTATTTGTTAATATATATATATATATATATATATATATATATATACACGTGTAAAGTGTAATATTTTTGAAAGTGTAAAGTGTAACATTAAATGTATAAAGTGTAAAGTATTATCTTATGCCTCACCTTTCTTAATGGAAAGTGTAAAGTGTTATAGGGTAATATTGAAAGTAACAATAACAGTATAACAATAACAATGTAACAAGCTATTTACACAACGTAAGGGGAGACATTACCTAAAGTGTTATACAAACAGAATATACATGTCTCATCTTACACTAAAAATGCTAATTAATTGAGAAAGTGTAAAAGTACTTTCAATGTTAATATGTAACATTTTACAATTTCTATTAAGTAAGGTGAGACATAAGGTAATACTTTACACTTTACACTTTCAATGTTACATTTTACACGTATATACATACTTGTATATGTATTTTTATATATATATATACTTATATATATGTATATAAATACAATATACGTATATAAATACATACATATATAAATATAAATATATATATATACGTATTTATATATAATTGTTTATACGTATTTATATATATTTGTTTGTATATATATATTAACAAATACACATTAATCAATATGCATTAAATATTAAAGTTCTCTCATAAAATTATGAGATAATGCACCACTTTTCTTAAAATGGGCATTTATGTCTTTGTATCTAACTAGTGTACCTTTTTAAAAAATATTTTTTAATATATATTTTTTGCCAAATAAATTTAATTAGGTATCCCAGCTTCCAAAAACCCCTATTTTCGACCTTGTAGGCATACGAGGCATATGGATGGGGTCAGCCCAAGAGTCTTAATCTGCAACAGAACCCCAAACACATCCTTTGATCTTAACCTTATTAGTTTCCTCAATTTACTTTTTTAATCAGCCATAAATAAGAATAATATGCTGCCCCCCATCCGTATTTTTTGTTTCAACACCACATAGTTTAAAATTCTCTAAACCAAGAAAATAATTTTTTTCTTAAAAAATTAAAAAAAAAAAAACTAGAATTCTGCTCCGTGGTCTAAATCCCCTTACTATTACAAGACTAAACAACAATAGGCTAACAGATTGATTGATTAATTCCACACGTTGGCTACCAAGTGTTTACCACGTACGATAACTAATACCTCAGAGATTAATGAGTCATTCCGCGTACACAAGAGAACGGTTCTCTCTGTGCTCCACTAGAGACACTGGATATAGACCAGACAGTCTCACAACAGTATGAACCAATGTCGCATACTGCTTTAATGGCCAGGTGAGAGTTGGGACATGTTATGGCCCCATCAGCAGAGAACTGTCATGTGCATTCCCAACTGCAAGAGAATCTGCAGCCTCAAGACTGACATTGCAGATGGCATGAATCCTGGTCTAGTGTACACAAGGAAACGTAAAACTCATTTTCAAGGCATGATAGCCAGACAAGCAGCCAGCAGGCTGCGCTACATCTGTTCCACATTCGTTGCTGTAGTGTGGGTGGGATTCAATTCCCCGCCAAGTCCCTTTCCTTGGTATGTTTAATCATCGCTATGTGTTTGCTGTCTAATCAGTGTATTTTCCGGGTGGGTTTAGATTTAGATACACTTGAGTTTCACAAGGACCAATTCTTTGGAACATAAATATTGATGCCATGTTTAAGCCCACATCAGCCATGTGCACAGAAGACATGGGCTAAAAACTTTGGCCTAGTTGCAAGGAATATAGAAACATCACTGAATCAGCTAAAAAGAGATATTAAGGGATGTAAGTGCAACCAAATCAGAAATTCAACAGCCTAATGCTTTGAAAATTTGCTCAAGCAAACCTGTATATACAGCCTATAAGATAAGGCACTTGAAACTGAAAGAAAGTACCTTCATTCGCCAGCTGACACCTTCATCAAAGCTTCTTACATGTACCAAACTATACATAACACCAATAAAATCATTGGACTGCTTATATCCTCCACAGGAATCTTCTTTTTTGGCATTCGTTCATAGGCAAACACAACACTGCTAGAACACCCAAACATAGAAGGCATTCCTGATTAGCCAACCCGCTCACTGGGAAAGCAATTCCACCGCCGTCTATGGTTTAACACGCCAAGGACCCTTGCAATCCAACACCAATGAAAGAAACATCTAAAGGTTGCCCACCTATACCTTACCTACTCTTTAAGGTTTTTAAGAGTCTGCCTTCAAGAAGCAATTGCTACTGCAAGAGCTGCCCATGGAAAAAGGGGCATCACGAACGAGAATCTTGACAGCACGAGTGCCAACAAACTCTAGTATCTCAAGACACTCCTGCAAATCAGAGTCACTCACCAACATCACCCATTCCTCTTCATCATCCAGATACTTGAGCTGAAATGTCCCTATTTGCAGTTTTAACCTATTTGCAACTTCTTCATACAGTTGGAAACACCCAGCAGAAGGCTCAAATTTGAAACGGATAGTATCTTCTTTGTAAGTAGCTTTCATAGTTATTTTCGATCCCCCATCTCCAAAACTAGTTTTGGTTTTAAAAAGCTTCCTTTCCCCAATGGTTGGAGAGCTTGATGAACTGCCATTCATCATTGAACCCGACCCATTTGATGAGTCTGTCATGCTTGAAGATGTGAGCTGGTTACATTCATAGACCCCATTATTGCCTTCCCTTCCATTGTCACCTTTCATCCCGGTATCTTCCTCATCAACAACAGCATTGGAGCTTGAGCTTCTAGAAATGAATTGAGAGTCAGATATCTCAGTGTCCAAATCCCAATTCCTGTATCCTCCTATTGTAAAGTAAGAACCTGGAGAGGCATTCTCACTAGAAATCCAAGGCCTGGTAGCAAGACAAGCTGGCTGTGATGGCCCAGCATCTGATGTAGCCAATTGGGAGTCATCAAAATGATGAGTCAGATGGATGCTGGATTTATGTTCTCCCTTACAATCACTTGGAATGAGCAGATTCCTTGGAAGTCGAACTTCGTTCCCACCCAAGTAACACTCTTCTTCCAACTTAACCCTAGAATTATCACCATCCATACAAGAGGTTGGAGACCCTGACACCATATCATGGGTAACTGACTCCAGGTTTCTCGCAGGACGGCTTTTGCTTGGAAAGATGATATCTTTATGCACATCAAAACCGTGGATGACAGAACTTTCTGCCACTAGTCCCCCACTGGTTGGGTCAAACTTTAATCCTCCTTCCATCCCCTGAACAGAGTCGAGCACAGTTTGTATTTTTCTTAAGGAACGGTTGACCTTGTTTATCTTGCGGGATGGCCATCTTGAGATCCCATGTTGTCTGCATATCCTTTTCAGTGTAGTAGGGCAAACTACAAAAAAAAAAAAGAAATTCTATGGACTGTCCTTTCTAATGTATTTCCAGAATTATATTCGCACAATTAAATAACCTTTTCATGAGGGATCTGAATACAGAGGTTTAGCATTAGAAACATCCCAAACAGTTCCAGAAAGCATATAAACTTCCTCCCAAGGTTCCAACAAGTGACGAACCACACTGGTTCAATGACAATATCATGGACCTCCATTTAATCAGCATTGTTATTTTCGTTTCTTTAAGTCTGATTTAAGCAGTTTAATACTATCAGTGTTAACTCCTATCAGAAAAAGTAAGTCTTCCAAATCACAGGAGTTGATGAAAACTCCAAAACCATCCCAAAAAGGGGTAAAAAGGGAAAATAAGGAAAAGCATATCCAAGCCTCGGGAAAGTGTAAAGTCTGTCGGTGTTTATGGCTATTAATCCCATTCGAAGTTACTTTTGAAACCAGGAATTAATATAAGGGGCATTACTTTTCTTACAACCATACAAGTCCTTCAATGCTCAATGTTATTTTGAATCAATAAATTGCACTTAGAATGGTAGTTCAGGAAAAATACTTTGAGTTAACAGTAGTGACTGATCAATGGGACATCCTTAAAACAATGATTATGAAAAATTAGCGACTTACCACCAATGCTTTTAGCTGCATCCTTAAGACTCCCAGAAAAGTATTGTTGAAGAACACTTAAACTAACATTCTTCTCTGCTGTGCTATGCTTTTTCTTTACTGGTTTCCTTGATCCACCCATATTCTATAAGATAACAGAAAGCAGTAAGAGCTCAATTGTACGAGCCATTACAAAATCAAGCACAGAGAGATCCGTACCAAATAAGATTCACACAGCTTTTCACAAGAATAATAAATCGCGGTTTCATATTGGTAGTCTTTGAAGCATGTATTAGTGCTTTTTTTTTTTCCCTTTTCTTACACTTTTCTTTGGTCTATGTTAGATGGTTTCAAGTGGATAGATGGTTTCAAGTGGATACAACTCAAAATTCTCCTGTCAGATCATGGTAACTCTAGTAGTACCATAAATGAAATTACTGACTGAACGATTGATGTAGAAATGATAGTGACATTCAACTTTGAATCTAATAGTTGCATGTTTACAGCATTAAAATATTCATCTCAGCCTTTTAGTTTCTTTTGGATGAAATGGATAACTTACATCAAGCAGGCAGTACAAGACACATCCCAAATGTTCTTCAACCTTTTCACAGTATTTTGTTCATTGACCCAACAGAAGTTCAAGCTATTACCTGCCTGATAGCTTTATCCATTTCGTATTTGGCTCTCTCTATTTTGGGGATATAGATATCAGCTGGACATGGGCCCCCTGATACCTTTCAATTCTAGTAGTCTTAAGTTCGTAGGTTTACTTGGTCCAGAGGCAAGATTCTCATCATTGCATGCTATATTTAATGCACTTTGAATGATCACAAAGGTGAAAATATAATGGTTGTGATGACAATCACTCCTTTTCAAGAAAATATTATGAGAAAGTTTTGCATTTAGTCTCAAGCCACAAAGTCTTATCTGCAATTTCTCCTTCTCAGGTTATTTGATCTTTCACTTCTCTAGCAGTAAGTATCTTTATTGCATAAAAGATGCAGCTCCTATTACAGCCACAAGGCAAAGCATCAATTTTTCACCTCTAGCCAAATATAGTATCAAATAAATCCAAATTTCCTTTCTTCAAACTCTATTGGTCGGACCGGTAATGAAAACAGACTCAGAACAGCAGTCCAGAAACAGAATTGAGCCGAAATAATAATTATAATTATAGGAAACAATAAGTGTGAAAAGGAAGTTGACAATTAGATTCCATTCATTTTTCTGAGTCAACTCATTCCTTAAAATTAAGAAGGGACAATTAGACTTAAGTAAGCAATGATCCCCTAAACCAGTGAAGTTTTGAATGTTTTTGAAAGTCCCCATATCTCAGTTTTATTTGCAATGATGTTCAAAATGGGATTTCTGATACAAAAAAGTCTATTTTGTCCATTTTTTTCCTCAAGAACATAAATGTAAATCAGAGAGAGAGAGAGAGAGAGGTAGAAATCTGGGGCACAGTTTTACTTCTTCAAAAGTGGGTCCTAGTACTTTTGTTTGTTTCTCCTTGTATTTCAGTGGTCAAATAAAATAAAAAGAAAATTTAGGTTCAATGGTCTTGAAGTGGGGAACAACTGCTCCCACAACCACAACCTCAAATTATCTTCTTCTCAATTTCCAACCAACTGCCTAAATGTCAGGAATATTAGGTACCTTCATTTGAGGTTAAAATTTAGTTTCAAAATAATAAAAGATATAATCATTTTCAAGTTTTGGAGGAACAAAATGGACAAAGTAGTACTTTAGTACAACCAAAACTTAATTTTGAATTCTGAGTACATAAAACCAGACTATGAAGACCTTAAAAAGAGTTTTACCAGGATTGGCTTAGGTGTAAATAGTGAAATCTTCCTTTAATTGTGATAATCCCATCTAAGAAACTTATACATTAGTGAATTCTTTAAGAAGGGCATCCAGGAAGAATACTTAGTACTGCCAGTGACTGCCAATTATTTGATGGGAGGCAAGTAGAGATCCACCATCAGCAAAAATAGAGAAAAGGAAAGATACTATTTTGGCCAAAAATAGGAATAGTTGCTCTGATTCAAATAACAAATATTACTCTACACTTGCCCAAAATCATAAATAGATTACAAGATAAAAAAAACTAAGCATCACCAGAACAAAATTTGTATTAGAACCCTAAATCGATCCAGATATGCCAACTCAAAATCTGAATAGATCCACGAAGTTAACAATCATAAAAACCTTTATGATTAGAACACATGAATTTCAAGAATATCCATCACATTATGACACTTTTCACTCATAAATCAATGGGCTCAATGGAGTAGATTTCATCTATATACACTATCAATTTTCTGCATACTAATTTCTAATCTCTAAAGCAAGCAAGCAAATAGTATTTTACAAAGAGAAACTGTGGGTGGGAAAAAAGAATCTTATATTTTTGATGCTGAAGTGGGCTCTGTTTTAACTTTCACGAATTGTTCCCTAATCCTAATGACAAGGGGGCACACGCTATGCATGTCATCTTTGTTAGAATATTCTAGCTTCTGCAACTAATCAGTAATCATGATCAGAGCAGAAGTCGATGCAGATGAATCATCCATTGGCGATGCAACAACAACTGTATAACGATCTTTGGACTTAAATGGCTGGTTTAGTGACCCCCTAGCATTCTTATTCACCAATTTAGGGCATTAGGCCTTCCAGTGACCCTTCTAACAACAAAAACTACCCATATCTGAAGCAGCTGAACCTCAATAGTTATTATGTGAATTGAAAGTTGCTAAGAGTTCTTATTTATATTATTAGTAGTGTAGGACAAGATTGTCATTCCAATAATGTCAGTTTACTATAAATAAGAATGTGTAGGGCAAAGCATCCCACACACTCATCATTCTTTCTTTATGATTTCTCTTCTTCTCTCTTAGCTCTAACCCTAATATCACCTATGCTACCTCAACTTGGTAGCAGAACAATCAACTGAGCAAAAATAAAATTTCAGAAATAGCACAAAGAAACAAAAGGAGATTGAAAAAAAAAATCTGCACAATTCATCACTTACATCAGCACCGACGGCGGCGACATCACCCACCAGTAGGATCGACTCATCAAACTGGTGTTTTTGGTATTTTTGTTGAATTTTTGAAATCATCATAATACCGTTTTCTATTCTTTTCTGCGACTTCCTACAATTGATGATGCTTCCTTCTCTGCAACTAACCTACAGTGACAGTCTGGAAAGAAACCACATCAATTTGGGGTATCCGGGTTGGGTTCGAACTGCTTTGTAGCAGTCGACAGTTGTGTTTTGGCCACTGGACTTCACTGGTTAAACAAATGAGTGTTCTGGTGTGTTTTGGGGGTTTCTTTGCCAACGGGAACTATTCCAGGGAGGTTCTAAGCAACGGATATGGTGTTCTCAATTGCTTTTGGTGCATCTGATTTGACTTGATGTGCTCTGATCTCTTTTGGCTCTCACAATGAGCCTTCTTTGGTGTGTGTTTGATCTGTTGTTTCATCTGGTTTGTGGTTGGATCATTTATTGTTTGTTATTGCTTGATTGATTGTAGATACAACAGTGGATGCGCTCAGGTCTATTCTATGGATAATCAGATTAGGCAGATTACTTTGGTAAAATTAAATGAAACTAATTATTACTCTTAATCTCATCATGCCATTAAAGTTTTTCTACGTCCTAAATGGAAAGTTAAATACTTGACTGAAAACCCTCGTAATGAGTCTAAAGGGTTTAAAGATTGGTGGAATGAAATTCTTTGGTGATGACTTGGTTATGGCCAAGTATGGAACCATTGGTGGCCTCTAATGTTCAATTTCTTGATACAACCAAGAAGATATGGGATTCTCTTGAGGAGATGTACTCGCAAGAATGTAATGGTTCCCCGGATCTATGAACTGTTTAAGCATATGTTTAATACTAAGCAAGGTAGTATATCCCTGGCTGAGCATTATGGCACCTTGAAAAGATTATGGGAAGAACTTAATTTGTACCAGCCACTGAGTGCAGACTTTGAGATTCAGCGACGACAGCATGAAGAGTTTCTGCTTGAGTTGTTCTTATTGTGGGGCTACCAGACATACTGAGAATTATTGCCAGAATAAGCATGGGAGACCAGCCAATGCTAATGAGGCCTCTGATGATTTGGATCCACTTGCGCCTCAACCATCTACTGGACCTACCTCTGACTCTCATGATGTCCTTACTACTCTGCTCACTCATCTCCTTCAACAATTGGTTCGACTAATGTAGACAATTTTGCACATGTGGCAATCCAATCGACTTCAACATCCTGGATTATTGATTCAGGAGCTAGTGCTTATATGTCAGATATTTCCTCCTTGTTTTCTAATTTTTGTTCTTCTAATTCTTGTATTGTCTTAGCCGATGGTTCTTTTCGACTAGTGCACGGGACTTGTGATCTCTACCCCACTCAGTCCATGCCCTTGACATTTGGTTTATTTTTTCTTCATTTTTCCTTTAGCTTATTGTCTGCGAGTCAATTGACTAAATCTTTAGAGTATTCAGTGACAGTTTATCCATCTTGTATTTTTCAGGACCTCCAAATGAAGAATGTGATTGATTTGGTGTATAAGCAGAATGACCTTTATTATTTAGATTCCAAAGATTCAATACCTGCCTTGAGTGCCACTGTGCCCCCCATTTTCGCTTGGATCAACTTTCATTGCAGAAGCTTCGTCAAGTTATTCCAAATTTGAGTCATTTTCTTTTTTGTTAGAATTTGAGACTTGTCAGTTGGGCAAAGCACCACCATAATTCTTTTCCTAGTAGTAATGAAAGCCGTCAATTGAGTCCTTTTAATATTGTTCACTCAGACATTTGGGCTCCTGCAAGAATAAAGAGTTTTTTTTATTTTTAATATCTTGTTATCTTTGTGGATGATTTTTCTCGTATGACGTTATTTATGATATAAGACCGTTCTAAATTCCCCAAGTTATGTTACTTTTTACAATGATTTGGTACAGTTTGATAAGTGTGTTAAAGTATTTCGGTCTGACAATGCTCATGCATACATTTTGTGCTGACCATCAAACAACATGTCAACATACACCTCAGCAAAATAGGATTGTCAAACATAAACACTGTCATATATTGGATGTTGCTTGTACATTAATGTTTAACATTCCTTTCCTACAACCATATTGGGCTGATGTTCTTACTTCGATGTGCCTTATTAATCAAATGTCTTCTTCTGTCTTGGATAATTAGGCTTGTTTCTCAGTACTTTATCCTAGTAAACCACCATGTAGTCTTACTCTTCGTGTTTTTGGTTGCATTGCATTTATTCATCTTCTTGGTTCAAGTCGAAATAAACTTTCTCCACGTTCAGTCAAGTGTATTTTTCTGAGATATTCTCATATTCAAAAAGAGTATCGCTGATATGATCCTCTTGTTCGCTGATATTATGTCGGTGTTGATGTTACCCTCTTGAGTCCTCCTTTTCTGAGTCCGATCATACCCTTTCTCCAGAATTGGTCTTTCCTAGTCGGGGGAAAATCTTGTTACTTATTGTACCGAACTGTATTTCCTCTTTCTCCCCGATTACTACTACTCCATCACAGGTTTATAGTCGTTCCAAGGACAAACAGGTGGTTCCATATGCTTCAGCACCCCAACTATTGCCTAACTCTACGAGGGCTTGCCTTCCGAGCTGTCAACTAATTCATCATCTTTAGACTTACCTATTGCATTGCGGAAAGGTACTCATAACTGTACTAAGTATTCCATTTTTTTTTTGTTTCTTTGTATAGGATTTCTCTATCCTTTCGTTGTTTTGCATCGACTTTGTGTTTGTCCTTGGTTCTCTGAAACAGGCATTGGCATCTCCTAGTTGAAAAATATTATGTATGAGAAAATACCAGCCCTTAGTGAGAATCAGATATGTTAGTTGTCGTAAGAACAAGAACTTTTCTTCCATCATGTAAGCAACCTGTCAGTTGTCGTTGGATCTACCCAGTGAAATATCATCTTGATAGATCAGTTGAGCGTTGCAAGGCACGCCAGATTGCCAAAGGCTACACTTAGACATATAGTGTAGATTACAATGAGTTTTTCCTCTGTTCCCTGTTTAAACTCTCTTAGAGTTCTTATTTCCATTGCAGTGAGTTGTGATTGGCATTTGTATTAACTGGACATCGAATATTTTTTTACATAGAAACCTACAAAAAAAAGGTAAGGTATAACTTCTAGGATATGTTGTATCAGGTAAGGAACACTGAGTGTGTCGTTTGAAGAAAGTAATATATTGCCAGAAAGCAATATACTTCCTGAAGGTCAATCAAAGATTTCTCTATGAAAAATATAAATCAGAGTTAGTACATCCACACAAACACTTGCACTTTAATGGGAACCTTAGCCTTGGTGCTGGGGCGAAAATAGGACAAGATCATTCACCAAAGAATTAAAGAAGAATTTACTATAAAAGACATCCAAGGACTCACAAATCCACATTCTTTTGTCATGTGACTCTTGATCCATAAAAGATAAACCAAGAATAGAAAGAAAACGCCATCAAATCCTTAATGTGTCTATCATCAAGATTTCTAGAAAAACCGAAGTCCTAAGAATACGGATGACTATAAAACCGAAACATAGCAATAATGGATGCACCATGAGAATTAGACAATTGATAAAAACAAGGACACAAAGATGAAAAAGATGACTCCCCAATCCATGCATCCTACCAAACAGTGTTTTGAAAAGCTCGCCTAGGCGAGCACCAAGGCGAGAAGCGAGGCGAAACGAGGTCCGGTCGCCTTAAACACCCCAAGCGAAGCGAATAAAAAACGAGAAAAGCGAATGCCTTGAAATTAAGTGAAAGGCGAAAAAACGAACGCCTTAGTTATACGAGATGATGTTGTCTTGGTTTGTTTTATTTTTATTGTGGACTGTTAGAATGAGGCAATTGAAAAAAAATTATTAGATGCTCAGACACCCAATTATCCCCTTATCCCATAAATATAAAACCTAAAACCTAATTTTGCTCAAGATTAGACGATCGACTGTTGGCTGCTACTCCACCTTCGTCTCTGGCTGTTGCTGCTCCTTCCTTTCTGGTCAGAGACGATCAACTCTTGGCTGCTACTCCTACTTCCTCTCTGGTCAGAGATGATCGACTGTTGACTGTTGTTGCTCCTTCCTCATTGGTCAGAGACAATCGACTGCTGTCTGTTGCTACTCCTTCCTCGCTGGTTAGAGACAAAGACTGCTACTGCTCCTTCCTCGCTGGTCCACACACAAGTTTGTCTCATCTTTTTTTTCTCTCTTCTTTTTCTTTTCTTCTCTGGTTTTTCTCATTTTTTGCTTCTTCTCCAGTTTTTCTTCTTTTCTCCGTTTTTTCTCTGATTCTTCTTCTCTCTTATGATTCTGGTTCTTCTTCACGCTTCTAATTCTGCTTTTTTTTTTTTGTTTCTGCATCTGCTATTTTTTTTCCAACTTCTGCTGTTTGTCTGATACTGAGACTTTTTTTTTTACTTCTGCTTCTATTTTTTTTTCTTTTTCTGCTTCTGCTTCTTTAATGATGAATGTTGATAATTCTTATTCTTTAATGTTGTTGCTTCTTTAATTTTTGTATAGCTGATGATTCTGATTTTTTGTAATGCTATTTTGCTGATAATAGTGCTGATTTGCAGTAATGATGATTGCTGATTTTTTATAATCCTGATGCTGAATGTTGTAATGCTGAATGCTGATAGTGTTGTAATGCTGAATGTTGATAGTATTGATTTTGCTGAATGCTGATATGCTAATATTTTGTTGATAGGCTGATTTCCTATACTGTTTTGTTTCTTTGGTTGTAGTGTGACAATGTCATTCATATAAATTTAAATGTTTATGGTTTTACTTGCATTTAAATATTTAGTATATATAAAATTAGAACTTAAATGATTAGAAGTAATTAAACTAAAATATTTACTTTTTTTTTAACTATTCACTTCGCTTTAGTAAAGCATTTTGCTTCACTTCTAGCCTAGGGTTTAGGAGCCTTAATCGCATCGGTTCGCTTTACGCCTTAAATAACACTGTTACCAAATATGACTTCTCTCCCCATCATGCACAACTAAAGATTTTGGGAAATCCTTATCACTCCCCAAGGTACAAGCTTCCACCCTTTCATAGTTGAATATAGATATACAAAGAGCTTCCCTTTTGCTCCTTAGAAATGGATGGAAATGCACTATTGTTCGAAACATGTCTTGGAGAAAAAACTACCTTCCGCAAACGGGCTTTCCCTACTATTGGATCGTGAACCGATGCCGTATGGAAGATTCTAACCACCAAGTTAAGCAGGTCAATAAAAGTTCCTATTCAATCCATTTCTTTTCTTCTTCAATTGATCATAACTGTTAGACAACCATATACTCCAAAAGCTTATGCTATTAGAGATGGTGTACTTTAAGTATTTATACTTCAATACGGCACCTCACATGCTGGCTAGATTTTGAGCCTAACACGTGAAAATCTTTTTTTAATAATTAAGGTAGCTGCGAGATTCGAACACAGGAACTTCTGTTTTGATATCATGTTAGACAATCATCTACTCCAAAAACTTAAATTATTAAACAGGGTGTAATTTAAGTATTTATACTTCAACAACAACTATGCTATTCCATGATTCCCACTAGGTATAAAATGACTAGGTCTCTTGGTGTTCCTTATGTATATCAAACCATTGATTAACAAGCAGAGGGGGAAAAACTAAAAGTATAAGTAGTGTGGACGATTCTAAGAGGAATAACAGTTTCATAATATCAGTTGTCTCAGTGATAAGGCAAGTCCAATGCCTACTGCTTCCTGGACATCCTTGCACTTAGGTTGATGAATACAAAAATTGTATACAATGGGAAAATCACATGCCCTTTCTGACCCAACATTACGGTTCAAAAAAAATCTCAGCCTCTTGTAGCAATTACTTAAAAAAGGGATCATAGTCTCTATAAAAGACTTGCTCTGCTGTCAAAATAATATATCCTCCAATAGTACACACACACACACACACACACACACAGGGGGTGAGAAAACAAGCACAAAAAACTTAAATACTAAAAAAATACAAAAAGAGAAGAGACATTAGGAAAAAGGGGAGGGATAGAGAGAGAAAGAAGAAGGATAAGAACAGAAGAAAAGAATTAGAGGAAAGAAAGAAGAAAAAGTACGAGACCACAAGAGTTAAAAAAAAGAAAGAAGGGAACAGTGAAGAAGATCCGAAAGAGAGCCAGAGAGAAATCGACACTCTTCTTAATATTAGTTCATATCCCAGAGATAAGTACTATTTTTCACCTCGAGCTCTGTTTCTAGGCTTATTAAGATCCTAATAAAATAAAGACCTCTTGTAAGTCTCTCCACCAACTGAAGCCTAAAGGACTTGCATCACCTTCTAAAACCCAAAGAACTCCCACAATTGGAAAACTATAACACCACTGAAATATACTACAAGCTTCCATGCACACTGCCATGTCATCTGCTCACGTGTCCCCTAACTTGCTTAGTTGATCATATATCCCTAATGCCATTATGCATCAAATATAATGCCCATTTATTTAAAAGGTACTAGCCCAGAGAACGCTTAGTGCTTTAATGGTTACTACTAGCTGGGCTTGAGTTTGTTCCGGAGGTTTCAATAAAAATCACAACCAAGCCCTCTAAGTTGGGCCAACTCAGGTCAGTTTTATATGTTTCCAACCTAACCACAACCCTAATGGAATAATCCTAAAGATAAAATGTTAGGAACAATACCAGTGACATAATTTAGCCTGATGCACATTCAAATTAGATCCAATAACACACCTTCCAACAAGTTTTCATTAGCTAGGTACTGTCTATAAAGAAAAGAAGGAAGTAACCACAACAAAAGTGAATGAAATACTTGTCAGAAAACAAAAACATTCTCAAACGTAAAAGAAATAACTTATTTAAACTATAAATGTTGATGGATTCCAATTTGGAACTCATTCATTACAAAGAGAGAGTGGCAATCAAAAGACTACCTGTTCACAAAGACCATCTGCTTCTGCTCCAAAACTTATTGAATCAGACGCAGTCAACGGCCCCTGATCAACAGAATTCAAATTGCCATCTAACAATTCCTGTTGAGAGTTGCTCCTTAATAACGCCACTGGTGACGAGTTTGAAATTGTAGAACCCTTTGCTCCAACTAATTCTGCATCCAAAACTGTCCTCAAACTCTTGCATATCCTCTGCATGGTATCAGAGAGGTTGTTCAACAATAGTTGCTGTTCTGCTCCCCCTTTCATATTGACAGGAAGAAAGAACTCTAGTATATAATCATCATCACCCGTGTAGGTGCTCCTTAGCCTAATCGCAACACCAGCATTCAGGCCAAACTTACGTGCATGATGGACAAGAGGGTACTCACTTATATCATATTCCTTTACATCAGGGAAGAAGAAGGGGCGATTGGATTGAAGTGCTTTCCCAGCAATACCTTGCCCTTCCTCAAGATAATGTTCTGTACATGCATGCACAAATCCTTGCATCCCTCTATCATTTACATAACAAGCCATATCCTCAATGCATAGCACACATTTTTCATCTGAAGTTGTATTACACCCTCCGACACGTACTCTGATAATTTCATCTTTAACTCCTTCAGTGTAACTACAGGGGACCCAAATCAGAGCAAGGGGCAATCTATGTGCATGGCAGACAGCTCGTAAAACATCAGTTATCTCAGCTAAAGCAGCGCGCTGGTTCTTTGACAAAAACTGCAACATAACAAATGACCTTAGAAGGTGAGCTGAAAAATCCAAAAAGAAACAAAATATGCTTGATATGAAACTAGAGAAGTCCATTTAATCTTTCTGATTCTGCAATGGATGAATCAGAAAGTGAAGATAACATTTTCAGGGTTATACCTGGGGATAAAGCCTAGGAGGTGCTATGCTCCTTAGATTTACAGCCTGCAATTAGTCAGGAACAGAAGTTAGAACAGAACCCACAGTGCTGAGCAGTACTGGATAAACTACATGAGATTCCAGCACTGTAACCTGAGCAAAAATAAAAGAAACAATTAAGATGCCCCACGCATTGTACTCAAAGACATTGTAATATGCATAGTAGTTATAATGTTTTATTATGTTTTATGTTTTATGTTTCACAGACATCCACGGTAATCGTTGATAGAGCTGCCGCGTAGTTGCTTAGTTCCTGATGTGCAATTTAGAAGGCGTCTATTCAAAAGTTTAAACTACTTATAAAAAAAAAAAAAGTTGAATCAGATCTCAAATAGGGACCATGTTATGCCGTTAATGCAGTTCCCATAAGAATTGCTATGCTACTGAAGACTTGCTTCATCCAAATTAGAGCCATTGCTTCGAACCCTAAAAATCTCACATAAAAGAATCCACATTAAAAAAGATGAAAATAAAGAGTGCAATATAAGTATGTGCCGCTAGATGCATAGAAAAAGACAAAATTGTGTCGTGTAAGGTGAAACCACTGAAACCATTCCTTTGCTGAACAAAAGGGCTAAATATTAGAAAAACATGTTATCAAATAACTATGAAGGACAGATGACTTACACTGACGACGTTGTACTTTTTCGAGCAGAAGTAATAAAATCAGGTAGAAGACATGAACTCTTCTTTACAGAAAAACCAGTTTTCATAAAGGGTTATAAATCACGGATGATTTTCCTGTCTTTATTAAGTAAGGTAAGCTTCTTTTTTTATCCTATTTTGTTATGTAAAATAAAAAGAAAAAGTATCCACAGGGACAATGTACATTTTCTACGACAGGAAAACATAACACAACCAGTTTAAAGGCTCATACTACATATAATATCAAGTGGAAGAACATGGAAACAGTCAGGATACAGATATACAGAATATGGGAGTCTGATGAGAAGAAGCATATGTACTTCACCTATAAACACGGAGAAAAATAAAGCTGACCTGGAGTGCATGGCAAACACCTCCCATTTCAGAATCGAAATTGGGTTTCTCTTTCATAGTGACAAGTTCCAGCACTGCACAGCATGACTTTTCAAGGGAGTCACTCTCAAAAACTGGTACAGCAATAGACCCACGGACTTCATGATCAACTGCATGTTGTACCCTCAAGTATTCACCCTTGTTGTAGTACATTACATTTGAGGTCCATTCTGGAACTCTTGAGGTAAATACGCGACCGGGAAGCCCTGGAAAAAAACCTGGTTTCAATTCTGCAGAGAAGGTAAATGCTCTAGAGACTTCACGGTATCCTAAGAGCATCTGATCGAGCAAGTATGGTTGCTCGTAAGTGCTTAAGATGTACTGATCACCATGCTTAATCGGAACCCAAAATTGAGCCAAAATGCCCTCTCCAGATGATTCTTTAAACAAAGACAATGCCCTGAGCATCTTCTCAGCGAGTGGGTGTCCAAGTGACCTAGGGATCATGCAGCTCCCCATATCTGAAATATTTTTTTTCTGACAACTGTTTCCTCTCTTAGCAATTGAGTCATCCCCATCAGCAGAATCCAAGGGGAAACCAAATTGGGCATCCTTCTGCTGAAACACCCTATTGTCTCCACAATTGAAAGAATCCAATGCAATAGCACCATTAGTCACTGGTAAGCCAGCAGTTCTTTGGTCTTTGAAGCTTAGCGCATCCATGGGTGGATAACTCATGGACATTGAATGAAGGGGTGACAACAAATAAGAGGCGAGCATTTGATCTGTTGCTAAGGGGCTGCTGCACCATCCAGCATATGTATCGAAATTCATGAGCTCCCCAGCATTGTTAAATAGATCCTCTGAAACCGGATATCTTGTAACACCATCCATGGAGACCATGCTCGCCGCCTGAGCTCTTGGAGAAGCCCAATAACCAATACCCTTTTCTTTAACCGAAAAGGGGTACTCCATTTCAACTATAAAGCCAAAATTTTCAAGTAACAAATGCTAGAGTTCCTTTTGAAGACATTTACTCTCAGTAATATTTCTGTCTCAAAAATTCTCCGTCACTTGCATGCAAAGAACCATATATCTTAGCATCAAGTTCATCTTACACTAATTATGCCAAAATCAACACAATCGAACCAACAACCAAATCTTCTAGTCAAAAGTACTATCATTCTTCTACACAATTGAACAATCAACCCAACTAATCCCAAAACCCAGTTTCCTCACTATGTATAACGCAAACCCTGCAATACCCACAAATAGAAATCACACACCCAACCCTGATATACACAATTAAAACTTTAATATAAGAACCACATAATTATAAGTCACCATTAAACATTGAACCTGACCATAAATTACAAAGAATAGCTTGAACACAGACCTCAGGCAGAAAATTCAGGGTCTCAGAAGCTGGCACGAGTCAACTGCAAGCGAAAAGCCAAAGCTTCTAATCAACAAAAAACCAATCTCAGAATTGTTATATTATTAACAAACACACCCATAAAAAGCCAAGAAATGACCAAACTAAGAGCGAATCACAAAACCCTCCTGGTTAACTTTCCAAAAATATTCAAATGAAATGAACCAAAAATTAAAAGGATGAACAAATACAGAAAAAACGAACAAAAATACAAAATCTTTACCAAAATCCGAGATTTCAAAACCCTAACAATTGTGTGTGCTGACAAAGAAGAGTGTGTTGAAACCTTCAAAATCACAGAACTCTTTTGGTTAAAAAAAATTCAATTGAAATGAACCAAACATTAAAACAATGAACAGATACAGAGAAACGAACAAAGATACAAACTCTTTACCAAAATTCGAGTTTTCAAACCCCTACCACAGCTTTTTCTATCAAACGAAACGAACCGAACCGAACCGAACATTAAAACCATGAATAGATACAGACAAAATTAACAAAAGTACAAAATCTTCACCAAAATTCGAGATTTCAAAACCCTAACACAGCTTTTACTATGTAGTTTCCAACACGTACCCAAGTATCTTCAGGTGTTGACAAAGAAGAGTGTGTTGAAACTCTCGAAACTCGGCCAGGTCAGAAGATTTTGGGTGACAGAAATAAAAAGCTACTTTCGAGAAAGTCAGAGAGAGATCCTACAAATAGAAAGGGTCACAGTCAACTGAACTGAACGTGAACTGGTTGGCGTAGCGTCTCCAGTTTTTAATTCGTTAAGTTTTATTACTAAAAATAGAAATATTGTTTTCGGCAGATAATCCACAAACTAGCATTGGGAATTACTTATCTTTTTTTTCTCTATTCTCGCCGTATTAGAGCAACTCGAATCCTTCTTAACAAAATAACTATTTAAAATATATTTAAATATTAAATACTCTACTTTAACTAATTATTTTTTAAAATTCACTTCAATCACGTTTTTTATTTTAATTAACTATTTTAACTAATTTTTAATAATATAATTAAAAAATTCCACGTGATGTAACATGTAAACGCCATTACGATGATGAAGCATGATGACATGTTGTGTCGTTATCAAATTTTTAAATTTTAAATTTTACAACTGTCATATTTTTTAAAATATATAAATAAAATATCTCCCTTCTCATTATCATATATCTTAAATTTATTTTACTGGTATTGCACTCATATTTCTTTGTTACAACTTGTGATGGTAAATTGAATATGATTCTTAATAATTCTGACTTCGATGATGAGTTGGAGATGTTAGCGGTTGCTATTGTGACAATGGAGAAACTCAATACTAAAAATAGTTTCGCTATACGTTGTGGTTTTATTCAAGGTTATGATGTTATTTTTTATAATCGAGTTGAAGGGTATGAGAGACTTTATTGCAATTTTTTTGCTGAATCGCTTATCAATCCTCCAAATTTATTTCGGAGGAGGTTTCAAATGAATCGATCTTTTTTCGTTCGTATTCTATCCATGGAGGAAGCTTATGATCTATACTTTGTCCAAAAAATAGATGTTTTTAGGAATATTGGTTTGTCTCTCCTTCCAAAGATGACTGTCGCTATAAGAATGCTTGCCTATAGAGTTGCAGCAGATACTATTGATAATTATGTGAAGATTGGCGAAACCACCACAATAGAAAGTCTACAAAGATTTGTATCGGTCATAATAGCAATTTATTCTGATGAGTACCTCAGGTCACCAAACAACACAGACATTACGAGATTATTAGCAATTAGTGATAGAAGTGGGTTTCCTAGGATGCTAGGTAGCATTAACTGCATGCATTGGAGATGGAAGAATTGTCCAATAGCATGGAAAAGTATGTACTCTAGTCTCGTTCATGAACCAACAATTATTTTAGAGGCGGTAGCTTCATATGATCTATGGATTTAGCATGCCTTTTTTTGGTTACCTGGATCCTACAATGATATAAATGTTCTAAAATGCTCTTCTGTTTTTACTCTTCTTTTGGAAGGTAGGACTCATCTAGCCAATTACTCTGTCAATGGAAACGATTATATTATGAGATATTATCTTGTTGATAGTATATATCCAAAGTGGGTCATGTTTATCAAAACAATTTCATCTCCAAGAAGCAATAAGTAAATACATTTTGCACAAGCTCGATAGCCAGCCAGAAAGGATGTTGAGAGAGCTTTTGGAGTGCTCCAAACATGATTTGTTATAGTTTGTGGATCAACACGTTTCTGAAAACTTGAAGTGGTTAAGGATATTATGAAAAGCATGCATAATATTACATAACATGATTATCGAGGATGAGAGGGGCAATAATGAAATGGATTTTAGTTATGATATATTAGATAAAATTCATATTCCTACATTGATATCTGAATGGAGTTCAAAACTACTCCAATTTATTCATACTCAACATCGTATTAGAGACATAGACACTCATTCGAGACTCCAAACTAATCTAATCGAGCACCTATGGATTATGCATGGAATGTTTTAGGCAGTAATATGCTACGAATTTTCTACAAATATTTAAACATTCATTGTCTACGAATATTTAAGCATGCATAATATTATAGTATTTGTTTGTTGTACTACTACTCAAAACATTCATTATTTAAACATTCATTATTGTTCTTTCCCATCTGGTGGCGCTTAAAATATTCAGCTTGAATCGGAGGCATGACACTTATATCCATCAACATTATTCTCTCTTTGTCCTTCAATTGCTTGATTTGTATCTTCTCTTTATCATGAGCTAATAACTCTTGTTCAATAGCCAACCGCTCTTTATCATGAGCTAGTCTTTCTTGTTCTTGAAGGTATGATTTTTCCATTAATTCAACTTTCTTCTCTGTCAACATCTTTTTCTCCTTCTTTAATTCTTCAAACAATTTCACGAAATAGGTTGAACTTGAATTATCGCCTTCAGAGAGTTTGTTCTTGGACTGTCTTGCTCGCGCTTTCACAGCTTTCCTTTCAGTTGGCCTCTCCAAACCCCCATATGAACTGATGTCGTCTCCTTTGTTTACCCGATTCTGGTATTGAAGGATTAGAGCTGCAAAGAGTTACACCACCTTTTATTTTTGCTTTCTAGATTGAGAATCCTCCATCCATTTTGGTTGATTTCGTAACTCATTCTAACAATGTTTAAATGAAAAAGAGTATTTATGCAGTTCCTTGTACACCTTCTTTGTATCACGGGTCTAAACATTTTACAATAATACTATGTATTATAAAAGAAAAATGCCCTATTTTCACACTTGTAATTAAAATGCACTCATACCATGTCTTTCTCAGTTAGATCATTTTGATTCAACCTTTCAATTTGGTTAAAAGATCCACAAAATTTATTGGTGGCTAGTTGAATTGTTGACCAACGATTCATCAAAGAAACCTGATTGCGATTACAATCTGACTGGGGTTTGTGTTCATTGAAGTACTCTCAAACCCTTCGTCAATACGTTCTAGTTTTTGCTCATTTCCATGCACAGCATCCACGCTAATATTAAATCAACCCAAGATTAAAACTAAATCTTCCTCAACTATAAAGTTGTCGCCTGAAACCTTTTTGGTGGTGGATTCTATTTGAGGTAATATTGGTGAAAAATGACCTATTTGGTCTATTGATTGAGTGTTAAACTCATCTATGTTTGTTTTGTCATTCAAAAGATTGGTGTAGTAATATTCATGTTCAAATGATTCCATACGTAATGCCTAGAATTCAACCCAAAACATACATTATTCATGTAATTCAACCAAAAACATATTATACCAATAATTCTAATCAAATTTCAAATAGAATCTAACCCAAAGCATAAAATATCACTGATGTCAATTTATTCTATAATCACAACAATAGGAGTAGTGATGTCAATTTAAAACTTTGAAAACTCTTTGAAATATTATCACCATAGATGTTTGCGTATACGCATACCCAAAATAACATGGCATGGTCATCATCCACCATAAGAATTGAATTAAATATCTCAGACCTAATTCTTTTCTTTTTTTTTGCTGGTTCTTAGACCTAATTCCAAAAAGCCAAAAAAAACCCCAATTCGGCAAGAGGGTGAAGGAAGACATATCTTGGAGCAGCAGTTTCCCCCGTGCAACAGTGTGTATTCGTTGTGCGAGTGGTGAGTGTTTGTGTCATTTTGTGAATGGTATTGAGTGTATATGGTAGGGAGCAGAAATAGAGAGATTGGAGGAAGGAAGACATACCTAGGGAAAGATGCAGTAGTGATTGAAGGGAGAGAGAGCCAAGCAGCAAGTGGCGAGCAATTTGGCATCTCTAATCTGGCTAGGATGAAGACCTCCTAGATTTTGGGGAAGAGGATGGCTAGTGGGTTAGAATTGAATTTTTGAGTGTTGCTCGCCAAAATAGCTAAAAAGGATGAATGCCCAACAACTTTGGAGTTGCTCTGAAATATGAAGTGGGTTGTGACTAAGCAAAAAGGCAATGTAGGAGTCTATGTATCCAAAACTATAATTTTGCTATCATACCCAAAAATAATTATAATTATAATTATTT